TCCTCAGTACTACCAAAAAACAAACAAGGAAACAAAGCTAAAAAGCAGGAATAAATCAAGTGTCATTTTGAAGAGTCAGAACAGTGAAATTATTGTTAGAAGTACATAAAGCTTGGTCAGTATATATTTATGACTCAGCATAAATATAATTACACACATCTATTTGAAAGTAGCTTTTGAGGATTCTCACTTAAACTATGATACATGAAATGGCTTTATGCTAATTTCTTTTAGAATATGCATTAAGACTAGTTATTCAAAGGTAATATTCTTCTTGCTTTATCTGTCTGTCTTTTTTTTCTTTCTGGGGTCAGGGTTTCACAGTACAGTTCAGGCTGGCCTTGAACTCACTGTGTAGTCTAGGCAGGCCTCAAACTCACAGGGATCCTCCTGCTTCAGCCTCCCAAGTGCTGGGATTACAGGTATGCACCACCATGCCCAGCTACCTGTTGTTTTCATATACCACTTCAAGCTCAGTCATCTGGCCCTTGCCAAATGAGAGACAAATCAGAAGAACCACTGCCATTAGCAAGTACTGGAGCACTGTGCCAACTTGAATGCAAGAAAAGAGAAACGTTATAGATTTTAAGTCCAAACATTAAGGTCCTATAGGTAGTTGATATCTGCACAAACAGCTTTCTGTTCAATACAGTAGGACATTTTATATATTTTACAATGTAAAGACATATTGCTGATGTATATATACCCTAAGTCTTAAAAAATTTAAGGCAACTGTGTAGTATCTACTTAAAAAAATAGGAAGAATTGCATGGTCTTAGGTAAGTCAGAATGATACTCCTAAAGTACTTGGGTACACTTGTATACTTAGGGAATTTCATTTCCCAAGGCAGTTTATATACCATGTATGCAGTTCAACTGTGGTTGAGACTTAGATGTAATATAAGATTTGATTTACTATATTTAAATATATTGCTGGCACATGTCCCTATAATCCCAGGACTTGGGAAGCTGAGGCAGGAGGATTGCTGTGAGTTTGAGGCTAGCCTGGGAGCTACATAATGAGTTCAAGGCCAGCCTGAAATATATAGCAAGACCCTGTCTTAAAAACAAAAAAATCAGTATCTGTATCTTTATACCTATATATATGAGCTTGATTTATATATAGAATTATTTCCTGGAGGAGAGTATTCTGGGATACAGGCATGTGCAACCATGCCTGTCATGGCTTCTTTGTTGACTTGCCATCTCTTAAGTATCTTCCTGAGGAAATGTATGTGAGAGATACAGTAAATTTATGGAGAGCTGGTGTATCTCTTGTCATACTTGATAGGTTGGTTGGGTCTAGGATTCCAGATTGGGAATAATTTTTCTTCAGGATTATGTAGCTGCTGTTTTCCATCTTCCAAACATTGTTGAGAAATGCAGTGTTATTCTGATCATTATTAGTATTTGTTCACCCTCACTGAGTCCTGCCTGCTTAGGATCTTATCTTTTTGTATGTCAGAACATTTCCCAGTGTTGCATCTTGGGTATATCACCAGTTGTGCTGCATGCTTTGGGCTTTATGAATGTAAGTCAAGTTCTTGAATCTGGAAAGTATTCTTGTGTTATATGTGGATTGCATTTTTTCTTATAGTTACAGATACTGGACTTTCTGAATCAGTCTTGTAATATTCTCCTCTTTGCTCTATTTTCCATCTTCCTTCTGGGAGAGTTCCTCAACTGTATTTTTTAACCTATTTAAAATACAGTAGTTTTTTTTTTCCTGCTTTCACTTGTAATGTTCAAAAGGTTTTTGTTTGAATATTCCCGTGTTGATATCTTTTCAGTTACTTTCTCAAATTCTTGGTTGTCTACTCTTAAGAGAGGGACTGTAAGAAGCTGATGGAAAGGGTTCTTGTAGGTGGTAGTCATAGGGTGTTTACTTATTGATGTTTTTAATCTACTGTGATCTGCTGGGGTTTTTACATCGGAAAATCTCTAATACTGGTGACTAGTTTTTTTTCCCCCCTCTTTCATAAAATTTCCTCAACTTCTGTATATCTTAAGGAGATAAGCTGTCAGTTTTTTGGTAGGGTAGGGAAAAGAATGTTTATATGCCCAACCTTCTGTGTATACTTGGTCTGTTTTCAGTAAGGTACCTAAGGTTTCTCTCCAGTTCAGATATACTGTATTTACCCTTAAATCTTGACCCAACCTTGGAGAAGGGCAGTTAGCTCTTTCCATGGAATACTAAGGACAAGCAGAGGCTTATCTGCTTTGCTTTTCATATAGTCTTTAAACCTATCCTCTTTTTGCCCTACTTTCACCTCCACAGAGTTGCCTGGTGTTACCAATTCAACAGGAGCCTTTTGAGATTTCTATGATGTAAATCAAGTTTTATTTTACTAGATCCCACTGCTACCTTTGGGATTCATCTTTTAAGTTACCTCTCATCTAAAGTTGTTTTCCAAAATGTTTTATACTCTAAAAGGTTAAAGAAAATTCTCTTTTACTATTACTTTAGATAAGTTGCAGAGGGAAAAGAAGCTATTCATTCTCTTTAACCAGTATATGAATCTGTATACCTTGTTTTCAGACTAAAAAGTTACCAGTTCCATTTGGCATTTAGGAATTGTGCAGGTCTTCCTTTCTTCATATTCTTCATTTTCAGCACACAGAGGAAATCGTAGAGGAAATGGCATAAATGATTTAGAAAGTTTGCTCTTTATCATGAGTCTTAAATGGATGTCGTGGTTTAAGACTTCACATACAAACACTTGGAGGGTTTTGTTCTAACACTTTGCACCTTTCAAGTAGATGTGTGGCCGTGTGTTGAGGCTCATGCCTGTAATCCCAGCACTTGGGAGGCTGAGGCAAGAGGATCGTTGTGAGTTCAAGGCCAGCCTGGGCTACAAAGTGAGCTCAAGGCCAGCCTGAACTGCATAGCGAGATCCTGTCTCAAAAAGACAAAAAAAAAAAAAAAAGTAGATATGTTCTTTTTTGGGGTATGTAACATATTTTAGATGTATTTGGCGGAAATGATTGTTGCTCAGATGATTGATTGTTAAATCCCTAGTTATGCTGAATATAGTATGTGGCCCAGTTTTGAGGAAAGGGAATTTAATGTTGATCTTGCTATGCCTTGAGGTCTCAGTGTATTTGCCATCAGGGATACCTAAAGTTTTTCCGGACTATGTTCTCAAGTCCCTTTGTTCACAACTTACTTTTCTTGGTTACTCTACTTTTCACTTTAGAATTTAGGCCTCTACTTGGCTGTTTCATACACATTAAGAATGAGGAAGCTGAGAGTACTAAGCTAGGTAGCAGTCTTGTTTTTTGGTCTTTTGGAGTGCTGGGATTACAGGCGTGCGCTACCACGCCAAGCCCACAGTCTTCCTTCAAATAAGTTAGGTCGAACTACAGTAAGGTTTTGGAGCCATACCTGACAAGGCAAAATCGGTAATCGTGACATTTCCTCGAAACAGCCCCCAAAGCTTTCTTTTTCTTGACCTCCACCCCATTTTTGGCCATGTTTTGACGTTTCTCCCTCCCACCAGAAACCCCTCATTCTTCCCAGATCAACTCCTAACAGCTGGACAGCTTTGCGCCAGGACACTGCGGTATCCACTCCCGGGGTCGCCAAGCGCGCGGCAGCACCGCCTGAGCTGGGTCTTCGCGTCCTGCCGGCGCTGCGTGGCGGTCCCGGTCCGTGGGTTTCCGGGGCGGGGCGGCGGGAGCACAGCGCACGGTGCCTCGCGGTCTCGGGTGGAGGCTTCCGCGCCGCCCTACCGAGCACCACACCCCCGATGCCACTTTACACTGGAGCCCCGGGTCAATTCGCGCGGATGCAGCCGGCGGTGTTTAAATCTCTGCAGCCAGGGTCTGCCACCGACCGCTAACGAACCGGGTCCGGCCGGCTCAAGCCCCAGGAGAGGGAAGACGAGGGCCCGTCTTCGAGCCGCTGCTCCAAAGCGGCGGGACGCGGGCACGCGCATCGCTCTGCTTTACGGCAAGGACGCGCGCGTTTGCGATAGCGTGACGCAAGCAAGTTTTGGCGGGAAAAGCGCTACATTTGGACTCCTGTGGCGGCAGGCAAAGGAGAGGCTGGTGAGGAGAGGCGGCCAATGGGGTGGGAAAGGAGTCTGGAGAAGGAGTTGGGGGGCTCTAGGGTAGTGAGGAGGAGCACTGAGAGACAGTGTTACCGGGAGGGAGCGAAGGGACAGAGCACCTCTAGCGGAGGGGCGGTCTCGGAGGGCGGAGGGTGTGGCGCCGCGGGTCCCTGCTGTAGTGGGTGCGGGCACCGGAGGGAATACCCTTCTGGCTGGGCACCTCGGAGATCGGGACGCCGTCCGGAGGGCCCGGCGCGTCTTTCCGCGGCTGGGGCAGTTTGGCCCCGCCCCGCGCTCCTCCCGGCCTTGGGACGGGTGGGGTCGGGGTGGGAATTGGATCCGTGTTGGGGTAGGAGGGGCTGCGGAGCCCCAGTTTCCAGGCCTCCTCCGTTATCTCAGAGTCGTACTCTCTCGACAGCCGCACTTCCCGCTCCCTCTTCCGCCGCCGCTCTCCGCCGGGCCCCTGCCTCCCAGCTGCCAAAAGCTACTACCTTCCGCGTGCGGGCTCCGGAGGGCGGCCGCAGCTCCAGTGTGTGGAGGGATGGCGTTGGGACCCACCCGACCCGACGCCGCAGCGTAGAGTCCTTGCTTGTGGTTTAAAACTAAATAGCTGTGGATGAGGTGTACGGGGAAACCGAGCGCTGCTGCGGTGAACTTCGGCGAGAGGCCGAGCACAGGGGCTGTGCAGGGATCGGGGCTGGCGCTCATCCCTCGTCCTTTCTGGGTGCCTTCCTTTTGCAGCCGGGTGCCGGTGGCATCATGGCAGTGCCCTTTGTGGAAGACTGGGACCTGGTGCAAACCCTGGGAGAAGGTGCCTATGGAGAGTGAGTTCGAGCCCTAATTTTATCTTGCCTTCACGCTTGCTTCAGTTTTCTGTCTGTTGCCCTGTCTGAGAGCATGTTTGGTGTTTTGGAATTGTTCTAACCCAGTGGTACCGTAGAGAACAGAGCTTTGCATTTGGAAGCCAAGACTTTTAGCAAATGAAAGTAACGCAATCCTTTGTAAGTTAATGTTTCTCCTAACTTCTCTCTCTCCTCTTCCTCTCCCCTCTTCCTCTCCCCTCTTCCTCTTCCTCTTCCTCTTCCTCTCCCTCTCCCCCTCTCTCCCGTCTCACTCCTCCCCTTTCATCTGTTAAATTATTATTTTTCCCCAACAACCAAATAGGTTTAAGCATAGTGATTAAATGAACGGATTCTGGCATAGCTTGCCTGGTTTCAAATCCTCTCTAGCGTCACACACTGATCTTGTTTCATAATCTCAAGCGAGCTTCCTCCTGCTGTGTGCCTCTTTCCTCATTTTCAGGTGGTAATAGTACCTACTCCAAAGATAGAACAGTCCCCACAGGCATATATAGCGTGCAATTATTACATGCTATTAAAATTATATGAGTAGAACATCTCCGTATGTGATGCGACCTAGAATTGCTACTATCTCAATTTATTTTATCAAGCACTTATTAAATGATTTATGTGCACTACATAATGAATTCTTTGGAGTATTAGCCATAGTACTTTACATTTCCAAAAATATCTCTTGAGAACATGGCAGAAACCATTTACTTAGTTTTCTTTGGTGGAGGAAACACTAAATGTAAAATAGTTTCTGGTATGTCATGTTTAATCTTTTGACTTTTTAAAAACTAAAATTCAAATGTCTAGAACGTTATAATTGTTCCTTTTCTTGTTTTAGAGTTCAACTTGCTGTGAATAGAATAACTGAAGAAGCAGTTGCAGTGAAGATTGTAGACATGAAGCGTGCCATAGATTGTCCAGAAAATATTAAGAAAGAGATCTGTATCAATAAAATGTTAAATCATGAGAATGTAGTGAAATTCTATGGTCACAGAAGAGAAGGCAATATCCAGTATCTGTTTCTGGAGTACTGTAGTGGGGGAGAGCTTTTTGATAGAATAGGTATGGAAAAAATTTCAGATACTTATTCTGCTAAAAAAAAAAGCTTTTAAATATGTATTTTTAAACTTGGGTAGCCATTTGGTCATTTTCCTTTCAGAACTGCTTATGCAACAGTAAAACTGAAGTAAATTATCTGGTTTTTTTTTTTTTTTTAGGGGGGGATCAATTTATGTTAGCAGCATATACTAGTATAAAATCAGAGAAAGAAAACTTTTTTTCTTAAGTTATTTAACAGTTTTGTTTGGTATTGCTGTTTTATGGAGTTTAAGAATGATAAACTAGTTTTATGGTGAGGCATCATCATAAATTCAATGTATTAGCTGGGTGTGGTGGTGCATAACTGTAATCCCAAGCAGTTGGGAGGCTGAGGCAGGAGGATCATTGTGACTTTGAGGCCAGCTGAGGCTACAAAGTGAGTTCAAGACCAGCCTGAACTGAACTCTGTCTCAGACCAAAAAAAAGAAAAAAAGAAAAATTCAATGTATTATTTATTTGTCTGTGTAATTTTTTCTTTGTAGATATTTTAGAATGGAATCATTGTGTATGTTTTCAGATCAGTAATAGCATGTTGCTATGTTTCCTCTTTGTTTAAGTGAAAAAGTTGATAATTTTCTAGAATTCATATATATATGTATGGATGATTCTATTTGGTACTTAAGTATTCTACGCAGACTTGGGATTATTACAAAACACTGGGAAGTACATAAAATATATTCTGTGGATCTAATTTTATTATTTAAAGCTATTTTATTAGTAGTTAAAAACTACTAAAATTGCCAATGTGTTGAGAGTTGAGAGTAAATCAAGAGTTGATGAGAGAGATCAAAATATAAAAGATAAAACTCACAGTAGAGCGTTGCTAAGTAAAACTGTTTTCTAAAGGAAATTCTTTTTTTTTTTTTATTACTGTAAGATTCTGTTTGGTAAAGTATAATCCTGTATGTCTAAATTTGAATTAAGAAGCTATGTGATTGACGCCTGATAAAATTTGTCCAGTAAAGTAATTTTGGTAATTAATTCTTACAGAGCCAGACATAGGCATGCCTGAACAAGATGCTCAGAGGTTCTTCCATCAACTCATGGCAGGAGTGGTAGGTACAGTCATTTCTTTTTCTTTTACTTAAAATCAGTATGAGTAAAGTAAGTTTCGAATTCTAGTATGCTTGTCTTCTCCCCTTAGGTTTATCTGCATGGTATTGGAATAACTCACAGGGATATTAAGCCAGAAAATCTCCTTTTGGATGAAAGGGGTAAGTTTATCATTTTGTTTGTGATACATTTTAATTCAGTCATACAAGATCAAGGCTTTTGCATTACTGAAATGTTAGGACAAAAAAACCTGACAAGGAAATTTGGAAGATTCAGTATATTTGGACTTCATAAGCTTTTCATGATATAGGTGTAGATGAAGTAGAGAAATCTGACCTAGAACAAAAACAAAATTTTACCAAATGTTTCTATTTTTGAACCAAATTGTTTGGAAACAAGTGTTCATGAACTGGGTACCACTGTATATTATTTAGGAATACAAACAAGGGAAAAAATTACACAATAAAGCAAAGGAACAGTAAAATGAAAGGAGGAGAGGGAATGGGAAAAAAAGAAGCAAGATATAGCATGTACAAGTACCAGTTTCTTACGATGAATGTTACCATTATGTGTATCTAGAAGTATACCAATAAAATAAAAAATTCAGAATGTTGGGTACCTCTGAGAAGTTAGGGGAGGGAATGCATTAAGGGTAGCAGTTATGAGGGATTTCCAGGAAATAGAATTTCCTTTTTTTAACTGGGTGCTGGGTGAGTAGATATTTATTATATTATTATTCTTGTATAATACGTATTTTGTTTCTATTTAGTACTTACTAATTTTTTTAAGAAATAAAATGTTACCAGTATTTTATCTTTCTGTGTTTTCCTTCATAAATACATTTCCCCTTTCTGTTTTCCAGAGGTCACCACACGCCTTAATTTTGAATTTATTACATACAGTTCTCTGTCCCAACCAAATACTAGTGTCCCAACCAAATATTAGGTTGCAGACATAATAAAACCATAATAATAGGTTGCAAAATAATAAAATCAAACTACATAGTATGGTAATCCATTAGTTTAAGTTTGTTTTTTTTTTTTTTTTAGTTTAAGTGATTATAATTTACAGGTAGTTTGGGACTAAGTATCAGTGGTTTGTCCAGATATTGACATATATACCTAATAAAAGGATATAATCACAAATGCTACTTCTCAAAATCAACTACAGATAAATATCATCAGTTGCTTACATGTATTCTATGAGTGTACTTGATAGAGTCAATCCTGTTTGGGAAATTTGAATTGTTTTAAACTTCAAATAATAATAGAACAACAGTGACTTCTATAAATCTGCTTACAGGACCAGTAAAAAACTGGATTGTGTTGTAATAAATACTAGTTATGCTACTGGCCATTTTCCTCATTTATGTTCTCTTCCATATTAGTGCATATAGATATACCTTGTTTTCCTTAACTGCCTTCGTAGTTTTCATTATACACATGTAAGATTTAGTCATTTATTGATGGGCATTTATGTCATTAAAAATAATATTACTATTAATGACCTTACATTTACAAATTTTTGAGTTTATTTTTGTGGATATGGTTCTAGAAGTGAGAATTGCTAGTTCTAAAGAGTGAATAGATCAGCTTTTGATATCTTTGGCCAAATTGGCCTCTGACTAGATTGTAATGACATTCTCTGATACCAGAGGGTTTCCTTAACTCCTCATGGACTTGTACAGCATCTGTCACTTGGGTACAGATGGTAAGAGTAAGTTGAAAGTCTTACCTACAGTTTGTGTATGCTGAAGATGGGAAGGTAAGTGGAAGTTTGTTCTTCTGGTTTGCTTATTGTACAGCATTTCTCATTTTTCCCTCAATTTAGGTACTTTAACAAGTTATAATTTCTGAATCTTCAGTTTGGAATGTCTTAACATACTTGTTTCAACAACTCTCTTGCCAACTGAGTTTATTCCCTGCTTGTGAAAGTTGTGCCTAGCTTGTCACTTAAGTCTCCTTCCTGCCCTTCACACTTCCTGATGAAGGGCTTTGTTTTCTTTCTGCCGAAGTTTGTACTGTTCTTTTCTAGCAGGGTAGCCCCTTTTGAGTCCAACATCTTTAACCTAGTCCAAACTGTTTTGTGTGTTCATTTTTTTTTTTTTTTTCCCCCTGTACTGGGAATCAAACTCACGATCTTGTGCTTGCCGGGTAGGCGCTGTGCTGCTGAGCTAAATCCCCAGCCCTGTGTGTTCATGATATTTCTCTTTTTTTTTTTTTTTGGTTTTTCTCCGGTACCGGGAACCGAACTCACGACCTTGCGCTTGCCAGGCAGGCGCTTTATGATATTTCTCTTAAGTTAATAGAAAAGATGAAGCCTTTCCAAATTTTTTGCATAGATAACATCATTTCATTTTCTTTTTAAAATTAAAAAAGATCCTGGGGATCTTTTCAAGGTAGAAAAGTTCTATAAACCTTAAGTAACACTAACGATATTTCCAATGAAGCTTAATTTCTGTAAGTGTATCTGTTTACAGATGTTATTATTTTTTGCCCGTCTTTTCCTTTTCATTTAGATAACCTCAAAATCTCTGACTTTGGCTTGGCCACAGTGTTTCGGCATAATGATCGTGAGCGTTTATTGAACAAGATGTGTGGTACTTTACCTTATGTTGCTCCGGAACTTCTAAAGAGAAAGGAATTTCATGCAGAACCAGTTGATGTTTGGTCCTGTGGAATAGTGCTTACTGCCATGTTGGCTGGAGGTAAAAACTATTTAATCATGATAGAACTTCTATCTTATGTAAAGTCAGATTTGCCTACCAAAATAATTTAACCAAGGGAAATCCATATTTACATAATACTATTTTAATACTTTCTTAACCAGTTTGGGCTGTTGTAACACAGTAACAGACTGGGGGTGCTTGTACAAAACAGAATTTGAGAAGTTCTGGAGGCTAGAAATTTGTGTCAGTGTACAAGTATGGTCTTGATGTGGTGAGTGCCCTCTTCTGGTGTGCAAATGAAATGGCTGTCTTTTTGTTTTTGTTTGTTTTTTGGTTTTTCTCCGGTACCGGACACCGAACTCACGACCTTGCGCTTGCCAGGCAGGCGCTTTTGCCGCTGAGCTAAATCCCCAGCCCCTGAAATGGCTGTCTTACTGTATCCTCACAAGACAGAGGAGGGAGAGCAAATAAGTACTCAGTGTCTTTTAATGACAACACAAATCCCTTTGTGAAGGCTTCCACCCTCAGACATCTGATGACCTCCTAAAGGCCTCATCTCTAAACACCGCATCATGTGGATTAGGATTTCAGTAATACAGGTTATTTGGGGGAAACAAACATGTAGTCCATTGCAAGTAGTAAATATAACTAATCTGAAACTTGTAATCCCAAAGGTTTTTAAAAGAAGATATGTATAGCTATGAATTTAAAAATAAAAAAAAATGAGTAATCACAATAGCCAGCTCATTTTAGTTTCATGTAAACACTTTTTGAATTTTTAAAATTAATTAATTAGTTATTTTTGTCTTTTTGAGACAGGGTTTTGCTATGTAGTTCAGGCTGGCCTTGAACTCATTATGTAGCCCAGGCTGGCCTCAAACCGAGGTGATCCTCCTGCCTCAGCCTCCTGAGCTCTGGGATTACAGGCCTGTGCCACCATGTCTGGCTGCACTTTTTTTTATTGGTACATGCTTGCAGTGCATAATGATTACATTTATCGTGTGGAGTTGGTAACATATCTTAATTCTTTTGCCCTTAAATTTTTCATCTATCTCTAGATCCCCTTCCCATTTGCAAAAGATTTATCACCACAATTCCTCTTATCTTTTATTTATTTATTTATTTATTTATTTATTTATTTATTAGCATTTCTTATGAGAACTCCAGCAGGTTGCTTTTTTTTTTAAGGGGAAAGGTTTATTTAGTTCACAGTTTGTAGAGGTTTCAGTTCATAATCCTGGCTTCAAGTCAGGGTGGTACTTGGCAGAGGGCAATAAATAGTTCATGGCAGTGGAAGACAGCAAAAGCTAAGAGAGAGAGAGGAATATAAATATAAATCTTTTATTTATAGGGCAAGAAATGGTTCAGCTATCTTTAAAGTGCCTTTAAAGTTTCTTTATTTCCTAATAGAGGATCTCGCTATATAGTTCAGGCTGGCCTCCAACTCACTATGTAGCCTTGGTTGGCCTCAAATTTGAGGCTGGGATTACAGGGGTATGCCACCAATGCCCAGTGCACACAGTCTATATTTGATAATATGTGTTGGTTTTGGTTTTGGTCTTTTTTTTGAGACAGGGTCTTGATATATAGTTCAGGCTCACTTTGTAGCCCAGGCTGGCCTCAAAGTTGTGGCAGTCCTCTTGCCTCAGTCTGCTGAGTGCTAGAATTACAGGGCATGTGCCACTGCACCTGGCTTTTTTTTGATAATATGTATCTTTAGCATTTATTGATGATGGCCTGACATGTTGATATGTAGTTTTTTAGTTTGGAAAGCGTATTGAATTAATTTGGAGGAAATGTTTTATAGAGTTGTATATTATTTTCCCTTGAAATCTTTACTATATAACTACATGAATACTCAGAAAACTGTGATTTGTTTCTTTTTTTAGAATTACCGTGGGACCAGCCCAGTGACAGTTGTCAGGAATATGTTGATTGGAAAGATAAAAAGACATACCTCAACCCTTGGAAAAAAATTGATTCTGCTCCTCTAGGTGATGGGGTTATCTTGATTAAAATTATTGATTTCTTGGATAATGAAGTTCTTTGCAATTTGAATTTCTCAACTTGTTTTCTTTTTTAACTTTTAAATACATAAATATGATCCTTAAAGATAAGTCAGAAAATGTAAATGAAAATTAAGAAAAAGCTGGGCAAGGTGGCACACACCTATAATCCCAGCATTTGGGATGCTGAGGCAAGAGGGTCACTGTGAGTTCAAGGCCAACCTGAACTATGTGGTGAGACCCTGTCTTAACACCACAAGTGACTGCCTGGCAAGCACAAGGTCCTGAGTTTGATTCCCAGTACCAAAAAAAAAAAAAGAAAAAGAAAAAAAAGCAAAAACAAAAATTAAGAAAAAAATCTTAAAATCCCTGCACTCAGAAATAGCCTTTTAAAAAATATTTTGGTATGTGCTTTGTGCTTTGTTATAAATATATATAAGAAGTACCTATTATGTGTATATATTATTTGTAGGTATATAAGTATATGTATATTTACAAAAAATTAAATCATTCACATTTTGATAACCTATATTTTGGTTTTCATGTTCTGTGAACATTTTCTGTTTCTACATCATTGTTTTTAAAAGCTGTGATGCTATTCTGAATATTGATTACCTTACTGCTCTGTTTCACTTTGTTGGAGATTTAGATTTTTTTTCTAAATTCTCATTGTTGTAAAACAAATAATGAAAAGCATTTGTGTAATTTAATTTTTGCATATATCCTTTTTTTTTTTGGTTTTTCTCCGGTACCGGGAACCAAACTCACGACCTTGCGCTTGCCAGGCAGGCGCTTTGCTGCTGAGCTAAATCCCCAGCCCCTTTTGCACATATCCTTATAATTATTTAACTTGTAGAAACAAAATTACAAGGTAAAGGATATATATAGTTTTAAGTTCTATGACTTATTTTGCCAAATTAATCTCCAAATAGTTTGTACCATTTTGTAATACTATCACCATCTCATTAGTTTATATTAAAAAATTAAGAGGTCTGCAAATACTGATATTTATTTTAAATTTAATGCTAATAAAGTTGCACATACTTTATATATTTATTAGCTTTTTGTTAATTTTGAAATTTTGTCAATGTGGCAAAAAGATTTATGCTGTTTTTCTTATCCTTTGAGGACTTTTATAAATTAAAAAAAAATTGTCATTTGACCTTTGCATATATTATAAATATTTTCTACAATTTGTCATTTATTTTCATTTTGTTACTTTGATAATATGTAGAAATATACAGTGATACCTCAGTTGTTGGACTCAATTCATTCAAACATATTTTTCTTATAAGAAGTAATGGAAAACCAAATAATTGGTCTGAGGCCCCAAAATTATACTTACAACTTCATTTTTCCAGGACTTTATCAAATTTCACAATTATTTTTTTCTTTAGCTGTATTGCAGTTCTCAGCTTTCCTGTTAGCTTTACTGCTGGTATCACTAACTTTCTTTAGAGTCATGATTAGGATATTTTTACACAAATAAAGTGAAAAAAAAAAAAAAAAAGCACAATGATGAATGTCTATGTTGTCTGATCAAGAGCGATGCTTAGACTGAGCGTCACCCCTTAGTATTTGGGAGAGATAAAGTGTGACTCACTCTCTGCCCATACAAGTTTTATTAAGTCAGATTTTTGGTTCCACTATCCAGCAAAGTTATGAAGACCAAGAAGATTTTTTTTTTTAAACTTTGCTGTCAAAGTTCAAATTTGTAACATTTTACACAGTTCAAAAACTGTACTACTGCATTGGAAAGTTGGAGCTTGGAGCTATTCAGCAACCAAGGTATCACTGTATTTAAAATGCTACCATTTTCAATCTGTAATTTCATTTGTGGTTTCTGCCTACATTGTTATATTTGGAAGGGTCTTTTTATCCCTAATATTTTTTAAAAAAAGATTCCCTGTTTTCATTTAATGTTTTTACGGCTTTAATTTTACATTTAAGTCTTTGGGTAGAAAATAATTTCGGTGTTGGGTGACGAATGCATCCTCTAAAAATATATATATGTATATATATACATTATTTAATAGCTATCAGTTTTACAAAATACTGGGTTTCAGTGTGGTATTTTCAAATGTGTACATGACATTTTGATCATATCCCCTCCCATGGTGTATGAACTCTTATCAAGATCATTAAAATGCCTCAGGATGATAGTTGGTTATATATACTTGTCTCCTAAAAAATGCCTCAGGATGATAGTTGGTTATATATACTTGTCTCCTAAAAAGTTATTAATGAGAGCCAGGTGTGGTGGTGCACACCTGTAATCCCAGCACTCGGGAGGCTGAGGCAGGAGGATCTTTGCGAGTTTGAGACCAGCCTGGGCTACAAAGTGAGTTCAAGGCCAGACTGAACTGCATAATGAGACCCTGTCTCAAAAAGACACACACACAAAAAAAATCCCTAAAAAAAAAGAAAAAAAAAGTTATTAATGAGTAAACTTTCTTTGTAAAACTGAATGAAGCAGTAAGAACATGATATATTAGAGCAATGAAGTTTGATGTTAGAAACAGATAAGAGTTTGGTTTATTTTGTTTATTATTATGTTAAATGTTGTTGCATGGTGAGAAATATTTCCATCTGATTCTTACTCTGATTGTTCAAAAACAATTGAGAATTAGAATCTGGAAAGAATATTATTCTAAAGTAGAGACAGCAGCAAAGAACAACTGCATGAAATTAAAGCAATAATTTGGTAGATTTATTCTTTCCCTGCTCCAGAAATATTTAGACATAAGGAGGCCAAAAGAGAATATGTTCCTTACTACAAATCATAGGCTTTTCTAATCTGCATGAGTCTTTTGTAAATGTTGTTTTAATGTTGTCCTTAGCTCTGCTGCATAAAATCCTAGTTGAAAATCCATTGGTAAGGATTACCATTCCAGACATCAAAAAGGATAGATGGTACAACAAACCACTCAAGAAAGGTAATATTATTAAAACTTAAGCACTTTACTGTATGAATGAATATTATTGGTAGCTGGGCATGATGGTGCATGCCTGTAATCCCAGCACTCAGGAAGCTGGGGCAGGAGGATTACTGTGAGTTTTAGGCCAACTTGGCTACACAGTGAGTTCAGGACCAGCCTGAACTATATTATATACTGTATAGTGAGACCTTGTCTTAAACTAAAAAATAAAAAGAAAGAATTTATTTGCAAAGTCAGTATCACAAGTCAACAAAGGTATGATCTCTATCCTGGTGGAGATTATAATGTCTAATAGAAAAAAAAACCACAAAATGTAATTTTGTTTATTAATAACTACAAAGGGAAGGTTGAAGTACTACAGCTAAGTGCTTGATCAAATCTTAAGTCTTTTTTTTTTTTTTTTCCTCTAGTACCGGGAATCGAACTCATGACCTTGCGCTTGCCAGGCAGGCACTGTGCCACTGAGCTAAATCCCCAGCCCCCAAATCTTAAGTCTTAAATGAAGAATTTTCTTCATGAGGAAATGACATGAGGTCAAGATTTGCAGATTAAAGAGGAGGTAGTCAGGGAATATAAGTCACAGATTTGACTTGGAGGAGAGGAAGCATTCAGAAAATACAGTATTACATTTATTAAATCTGGAGCATTTGCAGAACTTGAAAGAAGGTCATTGTGGCATGAACCTCATCAGTATTCTTCATTGTCTCATCAGTGGTTAGCATATTGGAGGCACATCATAAACAGTAAGTGTTTGTGGTGTAAATGAGTGATTAAAGAAGTGGGAGATGGAGAGCACTGTTTTTGAGATGGTGTTTGCTAGGCAGGTAGCAGCCATGTTACAAGGAGGATGGCCTTGGGTATGATGCTCAGAATTCTGGGCTTTAGCTTAAGCCCATTAGGAAAACTTGAGAGATGTTAAACAAGAAAATGTCAAGGCCCTATATTTAGTTTAAAAAGGTATTTGTTGCTATAACTCTTTTTTTTTTGTATTGTTTTTGATGACTAGGAATAGTATCAGCTAGGAGTGGTATCAGCTTTTATAGAAGTGGTTTAGGTGTGAGAAGACAGTAGTTGGAGTAGGTGAGTAGTAGTAGGGTTGGAGAAAAGAAAGTTGCAAAGCCTTTTGAGGAGCAGAGCTGATAGGACTGGCGATTATTTAGATAGGGAAAATGATAGTAGTGCACTGTCAAGGATGACTCCTATGTTCTGGTTTTGGTAACTTGGGGAGAAACAGAAATTTTGGGGGAATTTTCCTTTTTTTTTTGTTATTTGAGACTGGGTCTTGCTATGTAGTTCAGGCTGGTTTTGAACTCACTGTGTACTGCAAGCTGGGCTTGAACTTCCAGCAGTCTTCCTGCCTCAGCCTCCCAAGTGCTGGATTACATGTGTGCCACCTCTCGCTAGGCAGGGAAAATTCTGTTTGATTTTTGAATATCTTGAATTTGAGTAGATAGGTAAAAACTGTTCAGTGGGGGTGTGTGTGTGTGTGTGTGTGTGTTCAAGAAATAAGACTTGCCATGAATTCAGTGTGAGGACTTAAAGCATGATGGTAAATGAAATGAAGTATAGGGAATTTTAAGGAATGTCAGTATTTAAGTGGTGGGTGGAGACCAGGGAAACAGAAAGAAGAGAGAGGTGAGAAGAACTTTTGGAGAATGTGGAATAATGGATCAATAACAGGAAGCCTAAAATTTGTCCATTGTATTCCATGATGTGGTTATTCATGATTGAGCAAGACAGTGTTAGTGAGGAGTTCAGAGTAAATTCTGCAGCACAGTGATTGTAGTGTAAAAGAGAGGTAAGGAATTAGAGAGGGTTACTATAAACTCATTCAAGAAGTTTGGCTTTGAGAGGAAGAGAAGACAATAGCTGGAGGAGAACAAGGAATTTTTAATTGAACTCTGAATGTTTCCTTCACCTTTTTGTTTAATTGTCCACTTCACCCCTGAGGACACTACTTCCTCTGAAGCAGTGGATGTTTTCCTTCCCATACCCTCATATCTTTGGGTTTGGAAGGACCAGGTATCTGATATTCTCCTTGATCCTTTTTCTTTTTTCAGTACTGGAGATTGAACCCAGGGCCTTCATATTGAGCTCTAACTCCAGCATTTTTTATTTTGAGGCAGGGTCTTGCTAAATAAATTGCCCAGGCTGGGCTTGACCTTGCAGTCCTGATTCAGCCTCCTAGATTATAGCATCCAGAGATTATAGGCATGCACCATCACACTAAGCTCCTCCTTGTTCCTCATTGGTCCTTTCTCCTTTTTTCCTGCATTCTTCCTCCCCCCTTTCTTTTTTTTTTTTTTTTGAGAAGTTCTCATTATGTAGTTTAGACTGACCTTGAACTCAGTGTGTAGCCCAGGATGGCCTTGAACTCGTGGCAATCTTCCTGTCTCAGCCTCCTCCCTTTTTAATCTTATATTACCAGACTCTACCATTCATTGTTCTTCCTTATCACAATTCCCTTTTGAACTCCAAATTGAAATTCCTGCCATACTCTCATTCTCTACAACATGAGTTGATATTTTTGTCGTTTATTGGTAAGTTAAATATTCATTTGAATGAGCCTTACAGTATTGTGACTTCATAGCTTCTTGGATTTTTCTTCCCCTCCTCTCCCCTCTTCTCCCCTCCCCTCCCCTCCCCTCCCCTTCCCTTCCCTTTCCTTCCCTCCTCTTCCCTCCCCTTCCCTCCGCTCCCCACAGTTAGAACATACTTAAAGGTCACAATTTGTGAAGCATCTAATTTTGCAAGTGTGTCTTAGTAAATTTATAACTTGACCACATTTCTTGTAAAATCATGTAGGAAGACCCACTGTTTGTCTTGTATGTACTTTGTATTCAGTAAGTATATTTTGATATAGTTTTACTTATTCAAGTTGCTAGTTGAGTTAATTAAAAAATATCTGCGTGGAAGGCTTAAAAGCAGTTGTGTTGTTTTCTGTTTTAGGAGCAAAGAGGCCCCGGGTCACTTCAGGTGGTGTGTCAGAGTCTCCTGGTGGATTCTCTAAGCACATTCACTCAAATTTGGACTTCTCTCCAATAAACAGTACTTCAAGGTAAATTTATAAAGAAAGAATAAATGGCTATGGATGAATGTAGAATACTCCAAGAAGAATATTACATGTATATACCTTTCTTAATAGTGAACATAATTTTATCAGGATGAGAATGATATAAGAAAGACCTCATGGATTTTATGTAAAGACATTTTCTGTTGAGCAAGATGCCACAGGCCTGTAGTCTTAGCTACTGTACTTGGGAGGCTTAGGCAGGCAGATGGTTAGTTGGAGGCCAGTATGGGTAACATGGTGAGATGCTGTCTCAAAGAATAAAAGTCAAATACCTGAAGAAAAAAAAAAAATTGAAGACACATTTTTCTCTCTGTCTTAATATCTCAGTGAAGAAAATGTGAAGTACTCCAGTTCCCAGCCAGAACCACGGACAGGTCTTTCTTTATGGGACACTAGTCCATCATACATCGATAAATTGGTACAAGGGATCAGTTTTTCCCAACCTGCATGCCCTGATCATATGCTTCTAAATAGTCAGCTAGTTGGCACCCCAGGATCCTCACAGGTAAGGGAATTTAATTTTTCTAATAAATAATGGTTGCTTTTTATTTTTATTGTCTAAGGACAATAAAAGTCTTTTATAAAGACTTAAAACCTTTGTTCATGTGGAAATCTGAGGAATATAGTTTTAATACTTTTAATTTATACATAATATTTTATATAAGAATGAATTGCAGGAGGACTCCATGGAAAAGACTCAAGTCATAGAAAAAAAAAAGTTGGAGGCTAAATAGCTGTGTTTTCTCTGGTTTTGGTCATTGTGGATTTATTTAGCTTTCCTGTTTGACATGTAGAACCCCTGGCAGCGCTTGGTCAAAAGAATGACACGTTTCTTTACAAAATTGGATGCAGACAAATCTTATCAGTGCCTGAAAGAGACTTGTGAGAAGTTGGGCTACCAATGGAAAAAGAGTTGTATGAATCAGGTATGTTTTATTGATTTTGTTTACGTATTTTTCTGCAGAAAATTTTAAAATTTGACTAAAAACTATCATTAGTGTATTTCAAAAATAATTCAAATTTGAAAAATCATTAAAATTGAGGGCCAGGGATATAGCTCAGCAGTGTACTGCTTGCCTGGCAAGCACAGGGCCCTAAATTTGATTCCTGGTACCAAGAAAGAAAAAAGATCCCCCCGCCCCACCAAAGCCCCTTAAAAGAAGATGTTGGAAAAAATTTATGTATGTATTTATTTATTTTTTAAAGACAGGGTCTCACTGTGTAGTTCAGGCTGGCATGGACTATGTAGCCCAGGCTGGCCTCCAATTTGTGGCAATCTTCCTGCCTCATCCTCCCGAGTGTTAGGGAAATTGAAAAAATGTAAATAAAATGCTCTTTATCTTAAGAAATAATATTTCTTGAGAACATTTAAAGTATCAGCTGAGTATGGTGGCACACACTTAAAATCCCAGCATGGGGGAGGTTGAGGCAGGAGAACTGTAAATTTGGAGCCATGTTGGGCTATATAGTGAGCTCCAAAAGTAAATAAAACATTAAATAGCTGGATTCATTAGTTAAAAACTATGTATGGTTAATTATAACAGATGACTGCCCTGTGTGGAAAAAGTACAGGAATAAATATCATACTTCCTCCTATCTCCCCTGATCTTATACATCAGTTTTTATTTATATTATTGTAGCATAGGTATAGTGCTGGCATTCTAATCTGTATTTAGATTTTTGAAGAGACAGTTTTCTGTATTAAAGGAGATTTAAGAGGCTTGATAACTAAATGAAATGCATGATCTTTCACTAGGTCACTGATGGCAAACCTTTTAGAGCTTTCAGTGATACAAACAGCTTGCTGTGGCACGTGTGCCATAGGTTCGCCACCATTGCACTAGATCATAGATTTAAAAATAAAGTAACTATAAAGGATGCTATCAGTATAATATAGGCAGATTATTAATTATTGTCATTGTTGGGTGGAGGGATGATAATACTACGATTTGTAGGAGAATGTCTTTGTAGGTAGAGCTTATTTACAGGCCATAAGAACATTCTAAAAGAAAGAAAGCGGAAGTTGCACAGCCTCTCCAGACCGTTTCATCTTTTGATTGCTGTTCTAGCTTTTTAGCCACAAATCTAGCCTCTCTTTTTCCTTCTGATATTGTAATAACAGTGTTCCCCTTCCCTGTTATTCTTTGTTTCTTCTTTCAGTTTTATTTCTTTGGTTGCTAAGAGTTCACATGAACTCAGTCCCTATTTGTAGGTTGGTTTGATTTGGACACACATACCACTCTGCTTTGGAAATATACTACAAATTTTTATACCAAAAGTATCATTGCCCTGAGAATATAATTTTATTTTAATAGTATTTTCTACATGTAGCTTAACCTTATTTTTGTTGCCTTAGGTTACTGTGTCAACAACTGATAGGAGAAATAATAAACTGATATTCAAAGTGAATTTGGTAGAAATGGATGAAAAGATATTGGTTGATTTCCGGCTTTCTAAGGTACTTCTGATGATTTTGTTGTAGTATTCTTCCTATGGAAATATTTCTGTGTGGATTTTTTTTTTTAGATGGCATTATGCTTATATACAGTAGTCTTCCCACCCATACTTTACTTTGTGTAGTTTCAAGTTAACTGTAATCAGACAATAGTAAATGTGGAAGTTCAGGAATAAACACTTGATAAGGTTTCAGCTGAGCACAAGGTACTTGGGCACCTGATGCATGCGTATCACAACTTTAAGTCCATCCTGGGCAACTCATTGAAACCCTGTCTCAGAAAGAGCTGAGAGATGTAGCTCAGTGGCAGAGCACTTTTCTGGCATGGGCAAGATCTTGGATTCAATCCCCAGTCCCACCCTTTTGCCCTCCCACAATAGAGCATAATTCTGAGTAGCGTGATGAAATCTTACTCTGTTCCATTCCCTTCTAGCAGGATATGAATCATCCTTTTGTCTGGCATAACAATCTTACACATAGATTTTTGTTCATGCTGTATATTCTGGTTGGCTTTTACTCAGTAGGCTGTTTTGCTTATCAGATTGTCACACTATTGCAGTACTTAATGCTCAAATAAAGCTTATTTTACTTAATAGTGGCATCAAAGTGCAAGCATAGTGATTCTGGCAGTTTAATTAATTAATTATCAGTACCTGTTTTTAGTACATAGGAATTACATTCATTGGAGGGGTTGGTACATAGCATGACGCATCTTAACCCCCCTCTCCATCTTTAGGTCCTTTTCCCATTTGCAAAAGATCTACTCCATGATTCTTACTATCCATCCATTATTTTGCTCTTAAAATTATTTATACTTTGGGTTTCTCATATTTAAGCAGTATTTAAGCTTGAGTGTTTGACATATTTCACTTAACATTATGGTCTCAAGGTATATCCATTTTCCTACAGATGACTCAAATTTTCCCTCTTCATGGCACTGTAATGCTTTAATACATATTAGAGTATATGTGAGATTTTCTTTAATCAGTCATCTGTTGATGGACATACAGCCTGTTCCATGATTTAGTTATTGTGAGATGGGCTGCTATAAACATGGGTATGCATATATCACTGTGCTGTGTCTTTAACTCTTGGGGACATACCTAGAAGGGAAATAGCTGGGCTGAATGGAATTTCCATTTTTAGTTTTTTAAGGAATCTCCATACTGATTTCCTCAGTGGTTGTCCTAGTTTATTTTCCTATTAGCAGTGTAGAAATATTCTTTTTTTCCCATAGCTTCATTGCTGACAGTTTTCACTATACTATTTTATTATTTGTTATTATTGTTACTCTTTTACTATGTCCAATTTGTAAATTAAACTTTATTGTAGGTATATAAATACAGGAATACACGTAGTACTTGATGAAGGGTTGTATACTATGCATAGTTTCAGGTAGCCAATTGGAGATCTTGGAACATTTCCCTCATGAGAGGGACTGTTTGTTTGATATTTGTAAATATATGATCATTTGTTTTTTTCATTAATACTGTAAACTTTTGTTCTCCCAAGTCAGTTTTTCGACCATTACAAAATGTTTTAGTGGGGCTGGGGATTTAGCTCAGCGGCAAAAGCGCCTGCCTGGCAAGCGCAAGGTCGTGAGTTCGGTTCCCGGTACCAGAGAAAAACCAAAACAAAAAAACAAAACAAACAAACAAAATGTTTTAGTTTTTGTAGACAAATAGATAAATAAAAAATAAGAGAATAAAAACAACCTTAAGTTATGCTTCTCAGCAGTCACCTTTAATATTTTGAAATACTCTTAATTTTCTTTTAATTCATGTATATTATCTCTATAGTTGAATGAATGTTTATTTTAGTAATTCTGTGATTAATATTCTTAGATTTTTGTTTACATTTCTGATTATTTCTAGTTTTAAAGCTGTTGACTTATGCAAGATGAAAATAGTGTTTTTTTCTATTTCCTGTGAGATTAAACATGGCTCTAAAGACAGCTGTCTTTAGAGGCTAGTTCTTTTAGGGCTACTTCTTTATATTAGATATATGCTACAATACTGTTTTCTAGATGTTTGCTGTGGATTTGTGAAGGATCCTACTCTAATGAAATCCTTATTTGTTGGCTTTGTTGCCATAGTAGTGTGATGTCAGTTTAGTTGTGTGGCTTATTTTTAGTGTAGAAATCCCCACTTCCTGTGAAAATTTCAGATCTAAGGTCTAGTGGTAGTAACTCTTCAAATAGTGTCAGCGGGGCGTGGTGGTGGCATGGTAGCACATGTCTGTAATCCCAGCACTCCGAAGTCTGAGGCAGGAGGATTGTTGCGAGTTAGAGGCCAGCCTGGGCTACAAAGTGAGCTAAAAGCCAGCCTGAACTACATAGCGAGACTTTGTCTCAAAAAAGACAAAAAAAAAAAAAAAAAAAAAGACAGTGTCTTAGTTACTTTTCTCAATGCTGAGACAAAATACTCAACACCCAAAGTTAAAGGAGGAAAGGCTTATTTAGCTCACAATTTGTGGAGGTTTCAGTCTGTAATTAGCTGGGTTCAAAGCAGGGTGGTGTTGACTGAGGGGCAGCCCTTTATTGTGGCAGTAGATAGAAAAGTAACAAGAGCAAAAAGGAAGGAGCAAGCCTCTTTTTCCTCCCTTATAGTGTATTCAGACTACCCACCTTAGGGTGGGCTCTCTATACCCTAGGATGTAGAATTACTGAGTCACTTAGTTAAACTTCTAAACTTCTTGAGTTGTGGCCAGTGAATCAACCATTACAATATACCCCTTGTCAACCTGGCAACCAGGTGCATTTCTTTAAACTGGTCTCCAGATAAAAAGACATGCTTATAATTATGCCTAACATGTTGCAACTATCCTGTGTACAAATGGAAACAGAAATGTACTAATTCCCTCACCAGAATAGGAGATGTTTTTTGGGAAGGGATGCTTATTCCTATGATTTCACAACTTGAATATTATAACACAGGTTTAATGATCCTTAAGAACCAGTATTAAGTCTGTCAACATTATATTACATTAGAACCATAACATTACCCCTCTGGCCCCCCAAAGACTCGTGTATATCCCTTTATGCAAAAGGCATTTAGTCCATCTCTAAGAGTTGTCACAGTCCTAACCGTTTCAGCATTGCTGAAAAGTCTAAGTTCCAAGTCTTCTCTGAGATGTAAGGCAAACTCTTAACTGTTAGCTCTCGTACAAATGAAAAGTTAAACACTTTCACCATTCAGTGGCACAATACAAGCATTTCATTCCAAAAGTTACAAATGGCGATAACAAAGGAATGGGACCAAAGCAAGTCCACAGTCCAGCAGGGCAAACTTTGTCTGCAATTCCATGTGCAGCATCCGAGGCAATCTATGACAGGTTATGAGCCCCAAAGAGCTTAGGTGGCTATGGTGCTTCTGGTGGGTATAGCTCCCATAGCTTCTATCTTGGGCTGGCTTTGCTCCCTCCTTGCAGATTTCCTTAGATGATCCATGTTCCTGGCTTTTCCAAACATCTGGGGTCTCCATTGCCCTTTTGGCTTCACCCTCCCAGCTTCACACATTGCCCTGCCTAGACAGGGTACACTGCCTGGCCTCCCAGGCCTTCTGAAATCAAGGTAGAAGCCTTCTTAACCACACAACTCTTGTATTCTGCATGCACCTAAAACAAGCACCATGTGGATGCTGCCAAGGTCTGCTGCCAGCTAGAGCAGTAACCAGGCTTTTCTCTGTCTTGGCTGTAGGGCTTGACTGCCTGTATTGCTGAGCACTCTGAATCCAGTTCTGAGGAACAAATTCTCTATGCTGCTGCTGTTTTGGAACATGGAGTGGCCACAAAGGGTGGAGACATGCTGCTTCTTGTGATGCCCTCAGGCCATCTTTTTTATCCTCCTGTTCCTCCTCAGCAATTGAAATCTCCTCAGCTCTATCTTTGTACTCCTCAGCTTTACTGGAGCTTCCTTTCTGGCCAAACTCACAATGTTTTAAATCATCCTGCTGGGCTTTGTGCTCTTAATTTTCAAAATAGATCTGGCTGAAATCACCCAGCAACAGGTGTGCCACAGCCTCAACATTTGAGTGCCTTGAAATTTCTTCTGCCAGATAAATTAGTCTACTACCCTTAATCTCAGTCTCAGGCAAGGTCTCTGGACATGAGCAAAATGCAGACAGACTTTCCAAGCCATCTGGAGTCCGGCAGCCAATGTAGTCCTTCCCACCAGAAACCTCCCTAGAATGGTCCTTACTGGTTTTCTAGTCTTCTGAACTCTGATCAGAATCTCCCATACAGAACAGCGTGAGGCATTCCAGCTCTGCTTTTTCAGCCGGCATCTCTGAACCTTTCCAAATTCTTTCCACAAGCCATTCTGAAAGGCTTTTGAACCACGTGGTCAGGTATAGTCACAGCAATGACCCCACTCCTGCTACCAAATTCTGTTTTAGTTTTCTCTTTGCTGAGGCAAAATACTTGACAAATCTAAAAGAGGAAAGATTTATTTAGCTCACAGTTTGTGGAGGTTTCAGTCTGTAATCAGCAAGGCAGGCTGGCATGGCTTAGGGGCAGCCATTCATGGTGGTACAAGACAGCAAAAGCAACAAGAGCAAAAAGGGGAGCAAGCCTCTTTTCCTTTCTTACATTGTATGCAGGCCACCCACCCTAGGGCAGGTCCTCTGTACCCTAGGATGTAGAATTGCTGAGTTAGGTAAGCTTCCTAAGCTTCTAAACTTCTCAAGTTGACACAATGAATCAACCATTACAGACAGGATGCTATTTTTTGGTTTTCTGAGTTCAGTGTGGTAGGAACAGTGAACAGCAAATAATTGGGTCAAAATTATTTATGTAACCATTTCCTCTGTAACAATATTTGGTCTTAGTAAGAGGATATGAGGGTGTTATAACTGGACATATATAAGAGTATTTATTTCTAGTTACCAATAAAGACAGTTTGATTTTATTCCATAATCTCTTTTTTGTAACATTATTTTTGTATATCATTTCTAATATAGGGTGATGGATTGGAGTTCAAGAGACACTTTCTGAAGATTAAAGGGAAGCTGAGTGATGTTGTGAGCAGCCAGAAGGTTTGGCTTCCTGCCACATGATCGGTCTAGTAGCCCTGGGGATTCCTGGTGAATATGGTGCTGCTATGTTGACATTATTCTTCCTAGAGAAGATTATCCTATTCTGCAAACTGCGAACAATAGTTGCTGAAGAATTCTCTTCTTTATCCAAACATCTTCCAATTCTTTGTATGTTTTGGATACAAATAATACCTGTATCTTAATTGTAAGTAATACTTTGGGGAAGGGATACTTTTTCATCTGTGTTTTGTGTCTGAATTTGAAATCCATCTGATAGAAACTAGGTTTAGGGTACACGTGTCCATCAGCTGTTATACTAACATAATATTTCATTCTTACCAGGACATGTTTCATCCAGAAAATATGTATTTATTCCACATTGATTTAATTGTAAAAGATGGGTTAGCAAAGGCTTAGTCCTTGTGACTTTTGGATAGTAGATTTATCAGTCTGGGAAGTAAGGCTAGCTTCAAAAAATGTAACCCCAAGATCTGTACTTACATTTTCAAGAGAGTCTAACCAGTTATATAAACCTGTTGCTGAGTTATAACAGTTAATTAAAATTGCAAGTAGGTGGTTTCTTTTTTTCTGATATAGCTAGTAAAATATAAAATACTGGTTGGTCTTTCAAAAAGTTGAGCATAAGTGCTACTGCTTAACTAACTAAAATTACTATTGCACATCTTAAATATTTTTCTATATTATTCTCTACTTTCACAGCCATATTTTAATTCTTCACTGCAGAAATAAAGTCTATTTTGAAAGTGATATTTAACTCTGTGAACTTATTGGTGACCAAAGTTTTAGGTGATGTGTAATAAAAGGGGAGGTAATAAGGAAGTTCTCATTGACTATGTCTGATTCCTACTATAATATGTCTTGGTGTAGGTCTTTGGTGTAGGTCTTTTTAAGTTTATCCTACTTGCAATTCATTGAGCTTCGTTTATTTGTATTGATGGCTTTCCTCAAACTGGGAATATTTCAGACATTATTTTTTCTAATAATCTCTGTCCTTTGGTTCTTCTTCTGTCAAGGTTTTCACAATACACATACTGGTCTGCTCAGGGGCATTCTATATGTGCCTTAGTCTGTCCACATCTTGTTTTCTTTTGGTAGTAATGTGGCTTGAACCCAGGGCCATGCACATGCTAAATAAGCATTCTACAACTGAGGTACATCCCTACCTTGTTTGTTTACTTTTCTTCATTTTTTCTCCTTTATATTCCTTAGTTCATTTATTTTAAGTTACTTGTTTCTCAGATTTGCTGATTCTTCAGAGAGGATAATAGCTTGGTGGTAGAGTGTTTGCTTAGCATGTTTGCAAAAAAAACAACTTGCTGATATTCTGCCTATTTAGGTCTGCTGCTGAACTCTTTAACAGTGAATTTTTCAATATAGTTAATGTTTTTTTCTCCAGAAGTTGCTTCCTTTTCACAATTTTTCTTTGTTAATATTCTTATGTTGGTCACATATTACTTTCATGATTACTCTTAGTTCTTTGTTATCTTCCAGCTCCTCTATTTTTAAGACACTTGTTAAAAAGTCTTTGTATAGTATATCCAGCCTGTGTTTCCTTCTTCTCTTCTCTTCTCTTCTCTTCTCTTCTCTTCTCTTCTCTTCTCTTCTCTTCTCTTCTCTTCTCTTCTTTTTCTTTGTACCAGGAATCGAACTCAGGACCTTGTGCTTGCCAGGTAGGCACTGTGCTGCTGAGCTATATCCCTAGCCCCTGTGTTTCTTTAGGAATTGTTTCTGTTATATTTTCTTTCTTAAAATGGGGTATGTTACTCTCTTTCCCCTCTTTCTTTATATGCCTTGTGATATTTTTGTTGAAAATTTGGCATTTGAAAAAAGTCAACTCTGCTAAACTGGCTCCTTACTGAAAAAGACCTTTACTAGTAGCAGGTCATGTTTTGAGCCTAGGTCTTAGGCTGGTATGAAGGGTTAATGTCTTCTCTGTTCTTTTGCTTCTTCTTTAGTCCCCTGTATACACAGAGACTTTGAATGTCTTAATTTCTTAGTTTCATGCCAGCTTTGTAGGGGTAGGTGTTGTGTTGTATTCTTTACACATAACCTTGCCCAGGCATCTGCTGGTCCATGGTCCCTCTGCAGCTTTCCTGAGCAGTGTCCATTTCTTCCCATGGTTTTTCCCAACCTGAGATCAAAGCTGTTCTGCTTTCCCTGCGTGAGCTCTGAAAGAGGTGAAACACAGACCAATCTGTGAAGTTCCCCATAAGGTGTATATGTTACAAATAATATCTGCTGTGTGCTCCCCGAAGCTTGAGGAAGGCTACTAGGAATTTGGGCTTCTGCTTCTAGCTGTGCAGAGAAGAGAGCAGAGCAAAAAAAAAAAGAAAAAAAAGCCAGCATTTGAGTCTATAAGCCTCTGAGTATCATATGTTTTTTTCTTTGAACCGATTTTTAATTTTTCTCTTTGACTCCTATGTGCCTAGATGTTTTTTATATTTATCTTGCATTTATTCTTTTTTATAGTTTTAGTCTTGTGTGTTAAGATTGCTTTCTTTTCACTCAGAATTTTCTATTTTCTTTTAGGTTCATGGACATGCCTCTAACAGCTGCTTATTTCGGCTGCTTTGTTCATTAATTCTAATTTTTGGTTCATTTGGAGGTGTCTGTTCACTGCTTTTTTTTTTTTTTTTTTTTTTTGAGACAGGGTCTTAACTCTGTAGTTCAGGCTGGCCTTGAACTCACTATGTAGCCCAGGCTGGCCCCAAACTCCTGGCAGTCTTCCTGTCTCAGCCTCCTAAGTGCTGGGATTACAGGTGTGTGTCATCATGCCTAGCTTGTTGTCTTCTTTTTTCCCCTTGCCAGTGGGCCACAATTCCTTGCTTTCCTATGTCTAATAATTTTTTATTACATGGTCAACCTAGTAAGTAATGAATTATAGAGACCCTGGACCCTCTGAAGAACTGACTTTTGTTCTAGTAGGTTGTTAAGGTGGAGTACTTGAACTCTAAGATATGACTCCTTTAAAGTGTACAGCCCCTAAAAACTCTGCTCAGTTGTTTCAGCTTTCAGATACTGTTATTGTGACTCCTGAAGTTTTGGATTTGCTATAACATTGGTCAGAATTTCTCCTTAGATTTGAGAGTTTATATGTTGCAGGATTTCTCCCAAACTTCACAGCTGCTCTGTCAGTCCTAGCCTGGGTTCTCTGAAACCTCAGACCAGTAAGACTCATGTATGTGTGTGTGTGTGTGTGTGTGTTTATGTGTATGGTGGTGGTGGGGTACAGGGAATTGAACCCAGGGCCTTCACACTGAGCTGTCCCAGCCCTTTTTCCTTTTCATTTATTTACTTGTTTTAAAATTTTTGACACATAGTCTTGCTGTCAGTAAATTCCCCATGCTGGGCTTAAACTTTAGCCTTTCCAATTAATGGGATTATAAATCACCACACATAGTTTAAGACTATTTTTTTTTGTTCATTTTTTGTTTTGTTTTTGCCATCCTGTGATGTATGGATTGAGAAGTACCTCAGGCACAAACCCTTAAATCTCATTCAGTGCCATTCTTGACTGTTTAGGAGTGACTTCACTTTCTTTGGAGGAACTTTCAGATAGTTTCCTATTTTTTGTTAGCAGTAGAGGGTTATTCACCGTAAATGGAAGCCAGAACTCCTCTACTCATAAATCGTATTTTTGGTTTTTTGAGTTCTTTTGTTTGTTTGAGACAGTGTCATGCTATGTAATTCAGGCTGGTCTTGAAGTTACTGTGTAGCCCAGGTTGGCCCTGAACTCATGGCCATTTTCCTGTGTCACCTTTCTGAGTGCTGGGATTACAGGTGTGCACCACCATGCCCAGCCCTATAAATTTTAAACCTTTATTTTTGAATACCATTTTGTTAGAGGTTGGATTATAGACTTAAAATAATTTTCATTCAGAAATTTGAAGAGACATTCTCCTGTCCTCTAGCCTAGTTATTACCAATGAAGTTTGTTACCAGTGTTTTTGGGGGAAGGAGCATAATGTATAAATACTAAAAATTTTTAATTTTATATACGTAAAAGTGACTTTGTTTCTTGCTGTACTATTCTAAGAGTTTGTAGGCATGGGGCTGGGGATTTAGCTCAGCGGGAAAGCGCCTGCCTGGCAAGCGCAAGGTCGTGAGTTCGGTTCCCGGTACCGGAGAAAAACCAAAAAAAAAAAAAAAGAGTTTGTAGGCATGAACCCAAAAGCCCTAATCATTAAAAAGAAAAATCCTAAGTTGGACTGTACCAAAATTAAAGGTTTTTGCTTTGCAAAATACATTAAGAGCACCCAGCTGATCTCCAGAACCCTGACACAGGGGTATAGAAGTGACAAGCCACGACTGAATGGGGAGGGGCTCTGGTGGAGGAGAGGGTTGGTGGCCGTCATGAAAGACCATTCTGGTGGATACTCATAGTTCGAGGTAAGGGCTCAGTTTGGAGCCGTACAGATTTGGTTTTAGAATCTGGCACTGGCTCTCACCTTGTAACGTTGGTCAGCTTGGAATATGAAATATGAATAAATAAAACATCTCTATGTCACATTCCTTATTTATAAAGTAAGGATACTGTCTTTCCTGTCTATCACTCTGGGCTCTTTCCTGAGGATCAGATGAGATCATGTATGTGAAAGCATCTTAAGGCGAGGAGCGACTGTTTAGTACTCCACCTGCCCCCCTGTGGTACACAGATGATCCAGTAACATTTTGTAGGAAAAATTCTTTATGAGTTACTGAGAAGAAATAAAAGGAATCTTTTTATTCTCATTATATGGACTTCAGACTGTAGAGCCAAAGATAAGTTGAGTTCTTTATACACAAGTGGAAGGATGTGGGGGAAAACAGGGATGGAAACGTAGGGGGACAGATAGAAGTACCCACAGTATTGTTTAAACTCCACGAAAAACTAATACCTACTTTGTATTCTTGTTGTCTGTGCCCTGGAAGACCCCATCTCTTTCACTGCTGCCAGGTAGAGTGGCACACACCTGTAACCCAGCTCTTTGGGAAGTGATGAAGGAGAATTGCACATCTGAGGCCAGCCTGAGCAACTTAGCAAGGTCCTAGGTGCAATTCCCAATACCACACACAAAACATCCAATTTAGTGGAGGTAGAAAAAAGCCCAGGCTGACCCTGCAACTGGACTGATGGGAAAAGAAATCTTTCTGGAATCTTTGTTCTTTAGCCATGAGACATTTATTTTAAAAAAGGAAATCTGGAATGTCAAGATGGCGGGTAGGGGAGACAGGGTGGAGAAGAATGGGTAATGCTATGAATAGGAGAGGAAAGATATTTGAACATCTTGTCCAATATTCAGGTAAAGGCAGGTGCTCTTAGTTGTTGAAGCCAGATATAAATTGAGTTTAGTAGGGTGATGGGGGCCTTCTGCTGCCTGAGTCAGGCTTCTAGACCTTGTTACAGAAAGATGTTTTTCGGCAGCATATAATTTGCATCCTTGTTCCGTGGGAAATGAGGTTCATAGAGGGGCACTTGTTCTCACATCCCTGAACCATGAATTGGAGTTTTCCACCTGAAAAGGGCAAAGACACATTGGAATTAGCAGAAAGGTTCCCTCTTTAACTTACCTTTAACCATGGTCCCCATGTCCCCATGTAGGGCTGGCTAAGACCTCCCATGTATACATTGTACTTCCTCTTTCTGTCTGCCCCCTCTGGGACCTTCACCACATCAGTTGTCTGCTTCTCTCTTACTGCTTCAAGTTACCTCTTTATTGGCTTCTTTTTTGGTTTTATAAGTATGTGCAAGTTCTCCCAAACTTGAAAATAGTTTCACTTAGATCACTCTCCTGTCACCATCCTTCCCCCACAAACTGCTCTGGAGAGCTGGCTGTCCTTACTTGACCTTTCTTCTGCCCCAGACACTCCAGGTCATGAGTCTACTGAAATTCCCCCACAAAGAGTTCTGCTGTTAAGATTCTTTACCCTTTCCTCAGGACTCTCACCTCTGTGGGCATGTAATCCTCTAGGCTTTCTCTCTCCCTTTCTTTCTCTCTTTGTTTCTGTCTTCCTTCCTTCCTTCCTTCTTTCCTTCCTTCCTTCCTTCCTTCCTTCCTTCCTTCCTTTCATTTTGTCTTTTTCTTTTTCTTTCGCTTGCTCTCCCTCTGTCTCTCTTTCTCTTTCTCTCTGTCCCTCCCTCCCTTCTTCTTGAGACAGGGTCTCTCTATGTAGTCCAGCCTGGCTTTGAACTTACTATGTAGCCCAGGATGGCCTTGAACTCGCAGTGATCTTCTTGCCTCAGCCTCTTGAGTGCTGGGGTTACAGGCGTGACCATCAGACCCAGCCTGTTTCTTTTTTGAGACTTCTCCGGCCTTCCTTCCCTACTACTCCTCTGGATCCAGTTATCTGTGCTTTCCCACATAGAATTCTCACATTTCCAGTGAACTGATGGTCACCTCCATTCAGATACACTAAGGAAAATCTAAAATTTACTCTGCCCCAGAAGTTCAATTCCATCCTCCTCCCTTGGACTTGCTTTCTTGACTTTTCCCTTACATAGTTTCTGTATCACACTCTCAAAACCTCTGTGATCTCTGATTTCTCCCTTTGCTCTTTCTCTTCAATTGGTCATGAAGGCCTATCAGTTCTACTCTTGCAACACATGTTTTTATCCTGTCACTTCTATTCATCAAACATTTAAGGGACCTTTACTATGTGTAGGGAACTAAGCCAGACACCAGAGGATATTAAGATCAATAACATCCAGGTCTTCAGTGTCAGAGAGAGAGAGGAGAGAGAGCACGCCATTTCACTTTTTAAAAATTCAATTCCCTTTTTGTTACCTTTCTGTTAACAAAGAAAAATACTTTTTTGTGAAGATTAGATGAGAAAGCATACTTTAAAGTGTATCTCAGTATCTGATATATGGGTGGGAAGTAAATAAAGAACTATTATTTGTATTAACTTTATCAAGTCACTCCCTTACTCAAAATTGCTACATTCTAACTCCATAAACTAATATTGAAGGTTTTTTTAGGGTGGGTGGGATGCTTTTTTGGGGATTGAACAGGGCTATTCACACTGAGCTAATCTCCAGCCTTCGTTTTTGTATTCTCTTTGTTTTGTCCCTCCCCCTCTTGAGACAGTCCCGGTATATAGTTCAGGCTGGCCTGGTATATAGTTCACACTCACTGTGTGGCATAGGCTGCCCTCAAACTCGCAGCAATTCTACCTCACCTTCCTGAGTGCTGGGATTATAAGCATGCACCAGTAAGCCCAGCTCTTGTTTTTATATTTTATTTTGAGACAGGGCCTATCTAAATTGTTACAATGCCCAAGTGGACTTGAATTTGTGATCCTCCTGCCTGAGCCTCCCAGAGTTCTGGAATTATAGGACATGCCATCACATCCTGCAGTATTTCAGGTCTTTATGTATGATGTTGCTCCAACCAACCATTCCCAAATTTATTTTGTTTTCCTGCCCTACTTGCCATTCCCAAAAGTCTCTGCTATTCTTCATGTTTATATCCTGCACTTTTAAAACTTTTGTTTCCATAATTCCCCACCTCTGGCATATCCTTTATCAACACTGCCACATGACTAAATCAGTAGTTCTCTTCATTCCCAAATGTATGTTAGGATGGCTGAGGAGCTTTAAAAAATACTGATGCTGGGCCTGGTGGCATAAGCACACTCTGGGGAACTTACTGAGATCCTGTCTCAAAAGTGAGGTTGGGGAGCCAGGCGTGGTGGCGCATGCCTGTAATCCCAGCACTTGGGAAGGCTGAGGCAGGAGGATTGCTGTGAGTTCAAGGCCAGCCTGGGCTACAAAGTGAGTTCAAGGCCAGCCTGCACTACCTAGCAAGACCCTGTCACAGACAAATAAACAAAAAATGGGACTGGGAGTGAAGGTGCAGCTCAGTACAAAGGCCCTATGTTCAATCCCTAGTACCAAAAAAAGAAGAAAAAAAAAGCCTAGATTCAATCTCCAGAGATTCTGATTTAATTGGTGCAATTTGAGCATTAGGATTTTAAAAAGCTGCTCAAATAGAGGCCAGAGATACAGGTCAGCAGCACAGTGTCTGCCTGGCAAGAGCAAGGTCCTGAGTCAATTCTTAGTACAAACAAAAACCCCCAAACCAAAAAAAAAAGCTGCTTACGTGATTTTTAGTGTGTAGCCAAGACTCAGCCCACATCTTATGTGTTTCCCTACTGCCTTTCCTGAGTACCACCCTCCAAGTTTGTTTGGAAATTTTGCTCCTCTCATCTTTCCCTGCCACCTCTAATCTTTCCTTCCTTTGTTGAGTTCCCAATACTCTGTATGCCTTTTTCTTTTGTTTTTCTTCCGGTACCAGGAATGGAACTCATGACCTTGTGCTTGCCAGGCAGGTGCTGTGCCACCGAGCTAAATCCCCAGGCCCCCTGTATGTATGCCCTTTTTAAACAGTGGTACTGGGGATTGGACCTAGGGGCATCTCACCAAGCTAGATACCCAGCCCTCTTTTATTTTTGAGACTGGGTCTTGATAGGTTGCTAAACTGTCCAGGTTTGTCCAGGCTGTTTGACCTTTCTATCTTCCTGTCTCAGCCTCCTAGAATGCTAGGAATACAGCCATGTGCCACTACACTCATCCTTTGTGTGCCTTTCTTATGACTGCATTTTTTCCTTTGTGATACTGTTATCTTAGGCCAGGGATCCCCAACTCCTGGGCTGTGGAATGGTACTGGGTGGTGGCCTATGCAGTGGGCAAGCCAGTAAATCTCCATCTGTATTTAGCAGCAGGGAAACCCTACTGTGAACTGCAATGTGAAGGATCTCCTTCAAATCACCCTGAAACAGATCTGCCCCTTCACCCCTCTAACTAACCCCCATTACGGAAAAATTGTCTGCTATGAAACTGGTCCCTGGTGCCAAAAAAGATTAAGGACCACTGTATTAGGCCATAATTTTATTTGTTTTTTTTTTTTTTTTTTTTTTTTTTTTTTTAAAAGACGGTCTCACTATGCAGTTCATGCTGGCTTTGAACTCATGGTGATCCTCCAGCCTAAGCCTCTCAAGTGCTGGGATTACAGGGTACCATACCCAGCATATACAGTCTATATTTGATAGTATGTGTCTTTAATGTTTGTTGAGTGATGGTGGGATAGTGCATGAATGCTCATATGTGGAAATGGGATAATGGTGTTTCTAGTGAGGGACTAAACAAACCATAGAGTTCGTGGAATGGAAGTAGGTAAGTTTCCCTATTTTGGGGAGGAAGGGTGAGAGTGAGGGCAGAGAGATGTAGGAACATACCCAGATTGGTTTGGCAACCTGCGAACAGAGATTTGTAGCCAGCTGTTAGTTTATTTGTTCAGTATTTACTAAATGTCTACCCTACCATATCTGGACATTGTACTAGGCCCTGAGAATATGTGGCCACGAACAAAATAGACATAGTGCTGAGTTTACTCTAGGTCTCAGTCTGTGTCTCAGTGGCTTAAGGGACCACTCACAATTTCTTTAATAGGAAGACACAGCCCTGTCCCTGCCTCCTTTTCCACAAAGTCTTAAGTCTGCTGGGAGGCTTGTACCTCCCTGCTCAGTATCTGGGATTCTACTCTAAAACTTGAAGTTACTTTTAATATCTAGTTGTCTTGATCCCTTCTCTTAGCCTCCGTCCCCTGAACTGCCTCCTATTAGTCACTTAAATTGCTTGAGGCATCCTCATACCTTCGAAGATCTTCTTTAACATGCACTGCTGGGACTTCTCAGTGGTGCACATTCCCTCTCCACGAAGACATTTTCCTTGATTATTCATATAAGCGCATGTGTGGCAATTTAATATTGCACCTGCAATTTTAAGATAAGACATAAAATTCCTTTATGGGCCAGGTGTGGATATGTGAGTCAGACATCTGGGTGGAATGATGGATAATAAAGCCTGGAGACAACGTATTTATTTCTGAGTTCTTGCTGGGGATCTGAGGGTCCCGTGTCTGATACAGCATGTTCTCTTCTCTGTTCTAGAAGAAGTTCTTTCATTCTTACTGTTTCATCTATGACCTTCATTGCTGATGAATCCCAAATTTACTCCCTCATTTTGATTTTTACTGTACTGCCTATCTTCATTGGCTTCCTGGACACTTGTAATTAGTTGCTCTTCTGTGTATCTTACTCCATAGAAACAAAGTGTCATGTGACTGGCTGCCATTACTACTCTGCCATAACTTGATTACCCACAAAGCACAAACACTTGGAGTCAAATTGACTGATTTCTAAGCTTTATTAGAATGCTCAATTGTTGCAAATGGACTCATTCACTATTTTCAGATTGACCTTATTGAAGGTCACTGATGGCATTTTCTTTTAAATTTATCCATATTACCTCTTTTTTTTTTGGTTTTTCTCCGGTACCGGGAACCGAACTCACGACCTTGCGCTTGCCAGGCAGGCGCTTTGCTGCTGAGCTAAATCACCAGCCCTCATATTACCTCTTACATTGTTTCTAGTTCAGGAAGCACAAAGAAGTGGGTCAGGGGAGAATATGGGCTTAGACTGACCCAAGTTTGAATCCAAGGTTTGCTACTTTCTAGCCATGTGACTGACATTAGATGTATTACTTTTGGCCAATTTTTATCTCATCTGAAAGTTTAGAATAGTAATTATGCAATGGGATGAAATACGAAGTATTACTATTGCTGATAGTAACTTGAGACGTCAAACTTCAGGTGTTAGTTTTCTTGGTTGAACACCCCTTTTAAGGAAGGGCCACAGAAATGCAGTTATCCTAGGGAAGCATTGCATGAGTTAACATTCCATGTTAGCCTTCAGAATTCTGCACTTTGTGTGAGCCCTGCCAGAGAAACTGTGTGCTTTTGTATTTATAATTTCTTATTGTTCCTGGAATTAGAGGGGCTCCTGGCATTTTGTGTTTGTGTTATTTCTTAAACAAGCATTCTCCAAATTATGTAGCCTGCATGCCCCATAAAATGTAGAACATGATTCTTGATGTTATTGTGAAGAGGCCTAGAGAGTCTTTGGGAGAGTTGTTTCTAAAGTGTTAATGATTCTTCCCACTCTCCCTAAAATTGGGTTTTCCCGGTGTGTCCCACTTCTCACATGAAACCAGTATGGCTCACCTGAGGGTGTATTTGAAAGTGTTGTGCTTGAAGGCTGTTCACTGGAAGCCTCTTCATCTGCAGCCTGTTCACCAGAAGCCTCTTCACCTGAAGTCTCCTCACCTGAAGCATGTTCACCTGAAGTCTCTTCACCTGAGGCGTGTTCACCTGAAGTCTCTTCACCTGAGGCGTGTTCACCTGAAGTCTCTTCACCTGAG